GTTCAGGCATAATTAAATACATGTATATCTTAAAATCAAATAATACCACACAATGTTAGTTAAAAAAAATTGTCTTAATTTTAAAAACATTCAATCCCCCGGGGGCGCGGCAAAAATTATTTTTAAAAATTAAAAAAACAGCTTATACAAATACCCTTCTCACAACTTTTTTTTAACTAAGTGAGATTTACAAAAATAATTATTTCAGCCCAGCCTACCGAATTTTTAATTTTTGCCGCGCCCCCGGGGGATTGAATGTTTTTAAAATTAAGACAATTTTTTTTAACTGTTCGTTTTGAATTTGGCATATTGAAAAACTATAAGGTATTAACTCACTTGTAACACAAAAAAATCTTGTTAATATATTTTAATTTCAAGCCCCTCCCCAAAGCTTTTAAAGTTCTAATATACAGCTCTTCGATTAAAAAAAAGCCGTGGTGCGCGGGGTAAAATTAAAATAAATAAATATTTTTTTTTGTGTGTCTTAAGTAAGTTAATACCTAATAGTTTTTTAATATGACAAATTCAAAATTTAACTTAAAAAAATATTTTTTAATGAATTTTGAGGAATTTGAACCCCCCGGGGGCGCGGCTAAATTTGTTTTTAAAAATTTGAAAAAAACAGCTTATTTGTGTACCCTTCTTACAACTTTTTTTAACTAAGCCAAGTGAGATTTCCAAAAAAATGTTTTGCCTTTTTCTGCCCAGCCTACTGTACACTGTACAGTGTACAGGGTGGTCCACGTAAAGTGACCCATATACTTATCTCAGAAACTACTGGAGTCACAAACAATTTGTAAGGGAGAAATATTCTCGAAGTAAAAAATAGAAATTAAAACATTTAAGGTTACAAAAATAATTCAGAAATTTCAAATAAAATTAATTATAATTCTGTATTATTTTTGTAAATAAGTTCTATAGAACATGGTACTTACTTATTTTTATTTAAAAACACACCTTAATAGTGATAAATATTTATTTATTTATTTATTTATTGAATTTCTGCTTCTACCTCAAAGGGTCATTAGCAGGTGTCAACATAAGACATATACATTAGTATTACATGATATACATAATATACAAATATATTATATACTAAATTTTGTCCAGTATATTTAGAAGGCGCAAGTAATGTAAAAGCTTGGTGGTATCTTTGATGTCTTCCCCAATCATATCACTTAAGGTGGATGGTAGTTGGCATTGTTGTCTTAGATCCTTTAATAAAGGGCATTCTATTAAAAGGTGTTTAATGGACAGTCGGCAAAGGCAGTGATTACATTCAGGTGGTTCTTCTCCCTTTAGGATGTGTTCGTGGGTATATTTGGTGTGTCCTATTCTCAGTCTAGTTAAAATAATGTCTTCTTTTCTGTTTTTCGTAGAAGGCCAAGGTAAGGTAGAAGGTTTTATTTCTCGTAGTTTTGCATCCCCTTGCTCCCAAATACGTTGCCATACTTCAGTGGTTTTTTGTATGATGTGTGTTTTTAAATCAGCGGCTGTTATTTTGTGTTCCATGCAGGCCGTATTAGTGACTGCACGGGCTGCGGCTTGATCTGCTAGTTCATTGCCTTTTATAGCAATATGGGATGGTACCCATATGAAAATAGCTTCATTATTTTGAATTTGGATATTATACAGTTCTTGCTTTACTAGTTTAACTAAATTGTTTTTAGGATATAGTTGTTTTAACGCTTCTATTGAACTAAGTGAGTCTGTTAATATGAGTGAATTTATTTTTTTGTATTTTATATGTTTTAATGCTTCCCATATAGCATACATTTCTCCTGTAAATATGCTGCATAGTTTGGACAAGTTAAAGGTTTGTTCAGTATTAGCCGTGACGAATGCAGCTCCCACTCCTTGATTCGATTTGGAGGCATCTGTATAAACTTGGACATATCCAGGATATTTGTCGATTATGTCATTAAGGTGTACATGAATGATAGAATGTGGTGTTTGATTTTTATCAAATTTTGTTAGTGATGTGTTTATAGTTGGTAATCCAATATTCCAAGCTGGATACTGGTTAATAGGGTTTTCAAAGAGCTGAGGTAAACTGGTTATATCGGTTAGTGTCATGGCTTCGTTAATTCGTTGGTAAAATGGAGGATTTAGTCTAGGCTTACTGCGAAAGGTGGTCTGGAATCTGTTTGAGAAGGTCAGGTTTTTCAGAGGATGGTTTGGATTTTCCTTTATTTGAATTGCATAGGTTAGACTAAGTCGGGATCTTCTAATATTTAGTGGTGGTTCTCCACAAACTGTATATATGCTATTAACCGGACTGGTATAAAAAGCACCACTTGCGAGTCTAAGGGCTGTGTTGTGTATGGGGTCAAGTTGTTTTAAGTTAGATGACTTTCCTGCAGCGTATATTATTGAACCATAATCTAGTTTTGATCTTATTAGGCTTCTATAAAGCATTAATAATGTTTCCTTGTCAGATCCCCAATTTTGTCTGGTTAGCATGCGCATGATGTTAATTCCTTTTTGGCAAGAGAGTTTAAGTTTTTTTATGTGAGATTTCCAGCACATTTTTTGGTCAATAGTCATTCCCAAGAATCTTATTTCTTTTACTTGTTCTATTTCCACTTGGTAAAGTTTTAGGTTTAAGTTTGGGTAAATATTTCGTTTTGAAAAAATAATATATTTGGTTTTTTCAGGACAGAAGCGGAAGCCAGTGTTGTTTGACCATATTTCCAGTTGGTTAATACTTGCTTGAATTTGGTTGGTTAGTCTGGCTGTATTTCTTCCTCTGGTGTAAATGACTAGATCGTCTGCATATATTCTTGCTCTGATAGGGGTTTTTATGTTTGATGTTAAGTCGTTTATGGCTATCAAGAATAATGTGACACTAATTATGGCGCCCTGGGGGACACCATTTTCTTGTATTTTTTGTGTAGATAAATGTCCATCCACTCGTACTCGAAAACACCTTGAGCTCAGAAAATTTTTTATGAACGCTAGTATGTGACCATTATAGTTCCAATCACTAAGTATCCTAAGTATTCGGTGTTTCCAAACGGTATCATATGCTTTTTTGATGTCAAAGAAAACAGCTAGGCATTCTTGATTATTTGCAAATCCTTCATTAACAAAAGATTCCAGATCTAAAACGTTGTCTATTGTGCTTCTTCCTTGTCTAAAACCGCTTTGTAGGGGGGTAATAAGTTGTTTCTGTTCCAATGACCACACTAGTCTTCTGTTTATTATTTTTTCAAGAAGTTTGCACATCGTGCAAGTAAGTGATATAGGGCGGTATCCCTCTGGGTCTGTTTTTTGTTTATTATTTTTGGCTATAGGAATTATGATAGCTTCGCTCCATGCTTTAGGAAATACTCTTTTGCACCAAATCCAGTTATATATTTCTAGTAATTTAAGTAGTCCGGCTCTTGGAAAGTTTTTAATAAATAAGATTGGTATGTCGTCGGGTCCAGGGCTTGTATTTTTACTAGTTTCGAGGGCATCAGTGAGCTCATATAATGTAAGTTTTTTATTGATGGGATCGTCTGTATTATCTATAGTAATGGGAGTTTTTTCAGCTAGATTTTTTATTGTTTTAAAGTTGTTATTGTAATTTTGTTGGCTCGAGTTTTTTTCAAACATGTGTGCAAAGGTTTGGGCGATTTCTGGTTTATTATTTATGATTTCATCTGTTACTATTAATTGTTTAATTTCATGTTGATTGCGAATACCCTGCATTTTCCGGATATTTTGCCATACCTGTGAATTTGGGGTTGTGTTATTAATAGATTTAACAAATTTTATCCATGAATCCTTCTTTGCTTTTTTAATTACATATCTAGCTTGTGCTCTCATTTTCTTAAATTGGAGGAGATTTTCTACGTTGCTATTTCTTTTAAATTTATTAAATGCATATTTTTTTTGTTTTATTGCATCTGCACACTCCTTGCACCACCAGGGTACTAGGGTTTTTGTTTGATAATTGGATGTTTTTCCTATTGCTATCTCTGCTGCATTTAAAGTAATGTCTGTTAAATTTTTAATTGTAACGTCTATGTCTAGTGCGCAGGATAGGTCCTTTAGAGGTTCAAGTAAGAGGCCAAACAGTGGCCAGTTGGCCTTTTTAAGTTTCCAAGTGGGATTTCTAAAATTGTTTGTATTCATTTTTAAATTTTTAATCGAGATTGGGTAATGGTCGCTGCCGTGCAGGTCTTGTAGAGCCTCCCATTCTAATATGTGGCTAACATGTGGGTCAGAAAGGCTTAAATCTATTGCTGAGGAGCTACCATTATAAGAGTTAAATCTGGTTTTTTGTCCGTTATTAAGTATGACAAATTCTTCTTGGTTTATAATATTCTCAATTTCTTTTCCTCTTTTATTAGTTTCATTTGACCCCCATATTACATTGTGTGCATTAAAGTCTCCAACGATTAGACGTGGTTGTGGTATTTGTTTCATGACTTCTTTAATTTCTGCTTGGGTGATATCTGCATTTGGTGGAATGTAAATGTTGCAAATATTTAATTTTTGAGGGTATTTAACTGAGATAGCTGTGACTTCCAAGTTTGATGTCAGTGGAATTTCTTCAAAATCTACACTATTATTTATATATATGGCCACTCCACCACATGCTCTTGTATCAGTTATTCTATGTTTCTCTTGGCTGTAGTAATTTTTTAGTTTATAGGTTTTAAGATCTGTTAAGTTGGTTTCCTGCAGGCATATTATAAGAGGTTTGTGTTGTGCAACAAGAAGTTGTAAGTTTTCAAGGTGTCTATGTACTCCGTTAATATTCCATTGGATTAAAAAAGTTTGGTTGTTTGCTTTATTTCTTCTATTATTATCCATTATGTTTTTGTTTTATTATTCTTGTGATGACTCACTTTCTGTCTCAGAGTAGGTGTTTTTCCCGATGATATGGTTGTTTAGTTTATTTCGAATTTTTGTTGTTCTGGATTTGATTTTTCGTTCGGTAAAATAAGGGTAGATTTTTGTAAGCATATCAACTAGGGCTGTTATGTCATCAGTGTATTGTCTGGCACAGCTGAGAGGGTCAGGTGATCCATGTACGTTTTCTAGAAAGTCTGTTATTTCATTATATGTGAGTATGAAATTTCCCTTTTCGATGAACTCTTTGGTGGGTTTCATTAATTCTTCTATATCTTGGGGTACTTTATGGGATTTTGTTTTTTTTCTTTTAGAGTCATTGGGTTTTTTGAAGAGGTCATTGCCTGAGTTCATAAAGAAATTTTCAGATGTTGTTGGTGGTGTTAATATTTGCTCCAAGGACCTTTTAGAGGTTGTGGAAGTTTCAAGGTTTTTTTCTAAAATATTGGACTCTATAGCGGCTAATTCATCTTCTAATGTATTATCTTGTATTACACTCTGTGATTGCACATTGTTTAAAGAGGTTGTTTGATCTTCTGGCTTGTTTTGAGTCGTAAGTTTCTCGTTATTTCGAGGAATATTTGTAATGTCTTGTGATAGTGTTGATGTACAGTTAATAGCTAAATGTCCTTGTTTTTTGCATTTATAGCATGAGAGGCTATCTTGGCTTAAAAAAACTCTATATGAGGTGTCTTCATGGTTGATAATTAAACTTTCGGAGATGTTGTCTTTTGGCGCTATATAAACTTGTCTTCGAAAACTCATAATGTGAGAGTATTCTGGGTCTGGAATTCCCATCCTTAAAAAGGAGATTGAGGAGAGAAGTTTTATGCCTTGCTTTGTTAGTTCGTTTGCGAGAACGTTATGTGGTATGGATGGACAGACATTGGAGATTATTAGTCTTTCTGATGGAGTTACTAGTCTTCTGGCTTCTACTTTTTGGCCATTTACTTCTATATTTCCATGTTCGCTTAAAAATTTGTCAACTAGGTTTTTGTTGGATAGATATACACAAATTCGATTATGTTCAGGCATAATTAAATACATGTATATCTTAAAATCAAATAATACCACACAATGTTAGTTAAAAAAAATTGTCTTAATTTTAAAAACATTCAATCCCCCGGGGGCGCGGCAAAAATTATTTTTAAAAATTAAAAAAACAGCTTATACAAATACCCTTCTCACAACTTTTTTTTAACTAAGTGAGATTTACAAAAATAATTATTTCAGCCCAGCCTACCGAATTTTTAATTTTTGCCGCGCCCCCGGGGGATTGAATGTTTTTAAAATTAAGACAATTTTTTTTAACTGTTCGTTTTGAATTTGGCATATTGAAAAACTATAAGGTATTAACTCACTTGTAACACAAAAAAATCTTGTTAATATATTTTAATTTCAAGCCCCTCCCCAAAGCTTTTAAAGTTCTAATATACAGCTCTTCGATTAAAAAAAAGCCGTGGTGCGCGGGGTAAAATTAAAATAAATAAATATTTTTTTTTGTGTGTCTTAAGTAAGTTAATACCTAATAGTTTTTTAATATGACAAATTCAAAATTTAACTTAAAAAAATATTTTTTAATGAATTTTGAGGAATTTGAACCCCCCGGGGGCGCGGCTAAATTTGTTTTTAAAAATTTGAAAAAAACAGCTTATTTGTGTACCCTTCTTACAACTTTTTTTAACTAAGCCAAGTGAGATTTCCAAAAAAATGTTTTGCCTTTTTCTGCCCAGCCTACTGTACACTGTACAGTGTACAGGGTGGTCCACGTAAAGTGACCCATATACTTATCTCAGAAACTACTGGAGTCACAAACAATTTGTAAGGGAGAAATATTCTCGAAGTAAAAAATAGAAATTAAAACATTTAAGGTTACAAAAATAATTCAGAAATTTCAAATAAAATTAATTATAATTCTGTATTATTTTTGTAAATAAGTTCTATAGAACATGGTACTTACTTATTTTTATTTAAAAACACACCTTAATAGTGATAAATAAATGATTATATTATTATAATATCTCAGCACAACAATAACTTTTTGTTTTATTTAATTTTATTTTAGTAAATTGACTGATCAATTGTACAAAAACAATTTAACCGGTCAATTCCACAACCCTAGTCTTATCTGTTGGTTGATTGTTGATTTTTATACGATTTAAATTAAATAATAAATAAAATTAAGTAATTATATTTAAAATAATTTACAGCAAAATATTACACCCTTAGGGATTTGAAAATTCTTAGACGTTTTCTAAATAATAATTATTACAATTTATTGTATAAGACTAGGGTTGTGGAATTATAATAAAAATACTTATCTTTATTTATGTCAATGTTAACAAAGGTAAAAAAATAGAAACTTAAACATTTAAGGATACAAAAATAATACAGAAATTTAAAATAAAATTAATAATTTTAATTAATTTTATTTAAAAATACATTTTAATAACGATAAATAAATAATTTATGCAAATCAACAATAGTTAATTATTCTATAAGTAAAAAAAGGGATAGATTTCTATTTAATGGAAATATCAAATTTCCACGAGATAAAAAAAATTGGAGTGCACCCATTAACCACGCTGTTTTGTCATATTCTTAATGGGATAGTGCATTGCATATAGCATTGCATAAGGGGAAAGGCAGCGATTTCTGAAAAGTGTGAGGTTTGCTGCACGAGCGAGGCGAATGTAGAACACACTATTTAGAAATCGCCGCCTTTCACCACGAAATATGTACACTATTTTTTAAGACAAAATGAAAATTCGACTTTCGCTGCCCTTTAAGAGAGAAAAATTGTTAATATTTAAGTTAATTCATAAACAAAAATGTACCAAACTAAAGACAATAATTAGCTTAATTAATAATATTAATTATTAAAGAACTTATGTAAAGCGAAAGTCGAATTTATTCTGCTAGTATAATGAAAAAGCATTGATTTATATAATACTTTTCTTTACGATTCTTAAAATGTGCTTAATAAAAGTGTTGCTGGGTAAAAAAGTTTTGCTAACCAGAAAACGTATACTTTTCTTTACTATTTCTCTTAGTATAGTAGGTATGCTATTTTTCATTAAGAATACGAACAAATATAGCCTTAAAAAATATACCCTTCAAAAGGAATTACTATAGTAATTAATATAATAGTAATGGTAATTATTCATGTTAAAATAAATAGCAAGAAAAAAATATAAACTAAAACCTTGAAGGTTAAAAAATAATAGGGATATTTAAAATTAAATATAAAATTAATTAAAACTTTTTAAACCCCACATTCCTAATACAGACATTATTTTATAAACACGCAAAATATCAATATTAAAAATTACATAGAAGAAAAATCACATGTTAAAAATTCATTTATATCTCATTAAAGTTGACTCCCTAAATACCGTATTTCTAGGAGACGCAATAAGGTCGCGAAATGTAATGACGCAATATTGTATAACGGATATATACATATACATATATATATATACATCCCGCCTACAATGCTGCGTCAATACATTATGAAATTTGCATTCAATGCTGCGTCAGGTGTAATGCTGCGTCGTATATTGACGCAGCATTACATTTAAGGTTTATTTTACTGGTGACGTCACGACAATCCTACACACCGATTTTAAGGGTGACGCAGCATTGATGGTTTTTTGTAAAATACGTGTATATTGAAGTTTGGCAGTTTGCCGCAAGGGTGCGCTTTTAAATTTGGTGTATATTGAAAAATTGAATATTTCTTTTAAACTTACGGTAAACCTGCATCAAGTGAAGCTGACAACAATGTACGACGCAGCAACGTCGATACAATGTACTTAATATTATTCGACACATAAATAATTTAAGATCGTTAAACGAACGCAGCAATGCTGCGTCACATGTGTTAATGTGAATTTTAGAATAATTGTTTGGTAGCCAGTTTGTTTTATAAAATTATTATTGCCAAGTTCCTTTTAATAATTATATCTATAACTTTAAGAATAAAAAAGAGTAAAAATAGTATTATTTGTCCCGTTTGTAAGGCCTCCAGCCCAGGGATGGGAAACTGACGCAAAAATTGCGTTTATTAAATTTTATACATTGACTATTTAGTAAATGTAGTATGTAGTAAATCACAGAACATAGTAAATTATTGTGTAGTAAATGTAGTAGGTAAATTACGTGATTGGTATTTTGGTTGAAATCATGATTGTTAATGAGAATGTAAGATGATAAACATAATAACCTAACGTTTTACTCAAAAAAACGTGGTTTTGTGTTATTCTGTGAGCTGTCTTCTAAGTTTGATCTGTCAAGCTTAGAAGTGGGCTGTGGGCTCTTGTAACTTTGCAGGTTGATATAATTTGTTGTTTTTTCAAAAGAAATGACTAAATACTAATGAACTAATACAATTTTTTTTTAATAATATTTTACTTATACAGGGTATTCGGTTTTCTCTGGGACGGTTCCAACTTTCTTATTTTTAATAAAAAATATCCCTTTTATTTGCATTTTTGGATTCCACAGACTTTTTGAGACATGCTCTGTAAATATATTTTTCTAATCATATTAAAGAATTTGTACATTTCCTATACTTTTTCAATTAAGAAAGTGGCTCAGTCTTAAACTGTGGAGAAAATTGAACTCTTTCTCCACGGTATACCGCGGTAGTATTATAATAATCCTACTAGGATTTATCATTACTATGACGATTACACGGTGGTTCATTATTTTCTTAAAAATTAATTGACACTGAGTTTAGTAGAAACTTTCCACACGCATGTAAAAAAAGATATAGCATATTTTTCGATATTTTTTTTTCAAAAAATATTCTAAATTAGTTAACTAGAATTAGATAACTTTCAATCTTTAAAATGCTCTGTAAAATTGTTAAATTAAAGATACGCTACCTTATTGGGACGATATGTGATGACAGCAACAATAATAATAATTATATTATCCAAAGACGAAAGTAAACATCTGATTACATTTTAGGACGGAAAGTAAACAGCTGTCCTAGTACAAAAATGTGACGTTTTCAAAATATTAAAAAGCCATCATCCTTAGATTTTTACATACAATTTGGCCCTTTATATTTTAAAAAGGCAAAAAGTTTAAACAAATTTAAATTATAAATATTCTTCACTCCTAAATTGATTAATATTGACTATTCCACTCATTACTTTTTGGACCAATCAGATTTCAGAAAACGAGTGGTTTTTTCAGTTTTGCAGCGATAAAACTACTATTCAGGTGAAAAAACCACTCGTTTATACGAGTTGCATAACAACCAATTGGTTGCTATGATAAAAATAATTGTCACTATTGACGTTTTTAATTTTAAAATTAAAATGTTAAAAATTATGCGTTTTGGTCCAAAAAATCATAAAGAAATTGAATCAGCAGTTAAAAATATTCGTGAAATAGTCTGCCGAATACCACTCGTGATAAAATTTTCCCTGAAAAAATTTTTGATTTTTATTTACTCAAGATTTTTCCTTGGAAATTTCGCTCGTGGCATTAACTTCAAACCACTCGCCTAGCGGCTCGTGGTCTTAAAAATTAATGCCACTTGCGAAATTTCCAAGAAAAAAACATTCGTATAAAAATCAAAAATTTTATCGGTAAAATTTTACCACTAGTGGTATTATATACGATAATTTGTTTCTTACATGAAAACGTCGTAGTTGAATGGCATTTAAGTCACTTTGATAACGGATAAAAAGGAAGGTAACTTTTGCAAGTGGATAATTATTTATTTACCTTGTGTCATTTCATTTCCTTGACAACCTTGCAAATAATTATTTTTTAATAGCAGG